TGTTCCTCTCTGCACCCGGTGGGCAGCAACCGGTCGCTGCCCTCTCAAAGGCTTTTTCAAGGCAAGCAGCAGGGAGTGGTCACCGTCACCGAGGGAACGCCCCCCGCCACGTGAGCCTCTCTCTCGCAAGGGCTGCTGGGGCTTCGGGGATCGGGAGATGTCGGGAATCGCGATGTCTCTGCGCTCTCCTCTCTGATTTTCCTAATCTCCGTTGACCCTCCCGGTCGCTGAAGCGTGCCGGCTGTGGCTCTAGCTGGGCTAGCTCCGATCAGCTGACTGATTCCTTCCCCTTTATATTTGCAAAGTAAGGAACCCAGCTTTTCCCCAGAATGTTTGTTCTGCTTTGGGAGCTTCACTTGACGCTAGGCAGATGTCCAGTCATTGTTAATCATACTTTTAAAATTATTTTTAAAATAGTAATATTTTAATATATTAATATTTTAATACATGTCTAACAGATACAAGAAGAAACCAACATGGATCTCCAGGCCTGTCAGCTGATTTACCTTATGCAACTTTTAAGTGGCAATAGTTAGCAATGGTGACAAAAGTGTGTATAAGGAAATAAATTACTCTCTGCTCTTTGATGGCCTGCTGGACTAGCTGGCCACATTGGAATGAGAAAGAAGATCTGTGCCTGAAAAAGTCTTCTAGTCATTTCAGATTTGCTAGGACAGTCCACAGTTCCCGGGTGTAGTTATGGCCCAGGACTGAGGCAAATTCATCAAACTCCTTTTTGTGTAAGCTACTGGCCACTTTTTCCACAGCAACATTTTTTTGAATGCTATGCTCCAAGTTAAGGTTTAAAAATCATATATTCTAGAGGAAAAAGCCTCCCTAATGCACCACTGACTCCTTGTTCTGTCTGGTACTTGGGCTCACAGTTTTACAAAAAGACAAGAAAATTTTATTGACAGAAATTGTTGCTTTCAAAACAAGTAGAAGATCAGATGTGTTGGATCAGACTTCATTTGTGAACTGGCAGAAGCAGCACAATCATGGGAATAAATTTATATGTAGGATGAAGCTGTCTCTTTGAATCATAAATTGACCACACCCAGAAAATTACAGTTCTCACCCACTAGCCTCCAGTGACGTTCTAAATATTGCCCATCCCAAAACACAGCCTGCCAAGTGTCAAATACGTTATTAACTGGAAGTTAAAATAATTCCTCCCTAATTTCTCTTTAGGGAACTGAAGCTTTATACTGTCCTTAATACAAGCAAGTGCTTTACAGGCATGGTTCAATCCCGTACCAAAGCACTACCAATCAGAATTGACATTTAAACACCTCTCCTGTTGCAGTATTTTTGAGCAATAACAACACTTTTAACTTCTACAGCAACTTTATCCAAGGGTCTCAGAGTGGCTTAAAAACAATAATTAATTCAACTTCAAGAGGTAAAAAGGTAGCAACTGCACTTTCCAGGCAAAGCGGATTAGACATAGACTCCCAAAGGTATCACACATGGTTGTGCACAGGGCAACAGAGCTGAAGGCTGGATCCCGGGGGCATCCTGTGTCAGTGCCTTGCATTAAGCATCAGACAGTACCCTCTCCCACCCTACATGTGCTCTTCTGAATGCTCAATAAGTTCTCATTATAATAAAGACAACTCTGTGTAGTCATTTTAGTACTCACAATAAATGCACATTATCTCTAGGTGGTTTTGTTTTTAATATGTTGGGTGTTTTTTTCCTTTTTTTTCCTCCTCTCTAAGTGAGCTCTTCTTCCTTATTACTAAACAGCCAGCGAAGAAGCAGAGAGTTACCAAGGGCTGACTATACTAGTCTCAGATGTCTTTTCAGTGTATTAAAGTGTTTTCAATTACCTCCTAATACACCTCTGGGGAGCCTAGGAGAACGGAAGGATTAGCAGTGTAATGAGTTTAAATTATTTAAGAGTTTGGTTTTTTTTTCCCCATCCCCCTTATTATGTGACTTTGTTGAATTTAATCCTAGATGAGAGATAGTTGACAATACAAGCCAGGTTATATCTGATGAGTAACCTTGATCTTAATCAAAGGGCTGCAAGGAAAGTATATAAAAATGCCCTCCTTCTCCAAGAAGATGTGATAAAAAGGATAGGAAAGCCTGTTTTATTTTGCACTAGTTGAAATAAGGTGACTATTTCAGCAGTTGTTGAAACTGATTGATAAGACACGATCAATATCAGGTGATTTTCAGGCAGGAACATCCATGAGTAAAAAAGTTCAAGTGATCAATTCTTACCTGATTGCATCATGATGTAATATAAAATTTCAGGAGAGGTGAACTGAGGTAGCTGAGGTTTGTCTAGTTCCCTCTGATAGCCATTGACATATCTATCACCACCCAAATACCTGAGCATCTCAAGGTTATTAGATGTATTGTAGCCTCATAACGTCCTGATGAGGTAGAAAACATTATTTTGTATGCATTCAGGAACTGGAGATATAAAATCACATACTAAGAGTCACACTGAAAGTTCAGAGAGCCAGAAATGCTGCCAATATTTCCTGAGCCCTACCAGATCCATGATGGGCCAAAGAAGCAATAATGCAAAATAAACAAAGAAAACACAAAATGAAAACCAGGCCATAGATCTGGATGGAAGAAAACACATGCTTTACAGATGTTTCAAGTCTCAACCATCCTAGTCTGGTATGTTAAATTGGTGGTCCTGCCTATGCTTTAGGCTGGTTTTCAAGACTTTCTTCTTTCCTACAGCTTGGTGCTCTGTGTGATTATTATTTAAGGCAAATCTAATTCAGCTGCCAAGTTAGTTTTTTCTGAACCTGAAAAAATAGTCTACATGACACTTCTGTCATGGTGACTGGCGATATCTTCACTATAATTAGTACAATTTCCTTCACATTGAAGCTGGAACTTGACTTCTGTCTTATATGGTCCTGTGAAATAAACATGGATTTGTTAATGATGGGTCCTAATACCAGAACTTTAACAACTGATTTAAAATGAGGATCTACAATATTTTCCTTAGCTCCTACTTTCTCTGAAAGGACACCTAATTAATATGAATAACGAAAGACAGCATATTCTCAGCAACAGAATATGTGACCAGAACCTACTGTTCTTTGACCTTACGTGCTGTCAGCATCACAGCTGTATCAGAATTTACAAGTGTACTAAATTTTAATGTGTCACCTATGGAAAATGCTAGGTATCATTAGAAATGAGTTAAAACCAAAAATGTATGTGAAAGACATATTTCAAATAAAAAAAAATAAAATCAAACAGAGCACGAATCATGAGTTTGGAATTCCTTATGCTCAGGCAAACCTTTAATCAGTAAGGTTAAATGAGTGCCTCTCGTTGGCGCTGACTGTGTACAGGTATCTGTGTATGCATACACACACATTTATATGTGTATTTGTTTCCATGGTCCTTGCCTTTTTGTTTTGTTTTGTTTTTTTTAAATATTGTTTCCATTTTTCTCCTCCCTTCTCCAAAGAACCTTGCTGGAGAAATCTTGGTTTATCCTTATAAAAAGGGGGAGAATATTTCTGTGGGCAGGCAGACGCATTGTTTTCTCTGCTCTTGTCATAAACTCGTGACTTATTACTTAAAATCATAACTATTATGAGGAATCCTCTACTCTTTGCTAACAGATATAATTACTATTGTAAATACAAAGACAGAATTTTTCTCACTCATGCTTTCATAAGACTGATCATAAATGTGTAGAAATTCAATTTGAAATTAAAATCTAAAATGTCAGATAGATGAGATTATTAGACAGTATACACAAAACTATAGATGAGATTATTAGACAGTATACACAAAACTATCACAGAAATGGAGAAATAAACACACCCAACCCATAGCTTCCATAAACTTATCAAAACATCAGATAATCTTAAAATGGAGATTTTACCCAGTATTTCACCACTGATCAGAGCTGGGCAAATGCTTTGAGTCTCATGCTGTACCTAGAAAATATATTTTCTTTCTTTTTTTTTTTTTTTCCACTGTTACTGTGATCTCCCATGAGAGTTTAAGCCTTCATAAGGTATCAATACCTTATGATGAATGCTATGAAAAGTGACCAGCATATTTTCAAGGAGCCTTCATCCATACTCATCTTCATCCTTACCTAAGGTACCATTAGTTAGCACACCTAGGAGAGTCTATGTTCTGCTTAGCCTGGGGTGAGCCAGCTGATGTTAAATCTGAGAGCGCTGACACTTTACCTTCATCCCAGGAAGAGTGAAATACAAATTCAGACTTCAGTATGGAACATGAAGGTAGCTCTACCCACAATCAAGCAGTTTAATTTGTAAAACCAATAGAAGTTTTTTCACAGCAAGACAAATGAGACCTAGCCAGCAGACAAAATGAACCCAAACTCTCTTAAATAGTAGAAGTTACGTGTATTATTGCCTTTCAAGCATTACACTGGTAGTAGTTTTAAGTGGAGTTGCTCATAATTTTGCTCATAATTTTGGAAGCAGCTCACATACGGATGAGAGCTTCAAAGCAAGACTGTAGATGGAGACAGATGTAGATGGCTCTGCTAATTATCTTGCTAAAATCCGGCTTGTATTCACACAAAACCCAGAATTTAAAAGATTGCAAAATTCTTCCTGGAAATCCCAAAGCAGCAGCAGGTGCTTTGGCTGTGTATTAAATACTTCTCCACATCCCCAGGGCACCATAAGCTCTAAGTTTCTACCCAGCAGCACAGGAACCCAGAGCTGTGGAAAGAATATGCGCATGTCATCTGAGTGACCTTCTCCTGTTCTTTGTAAAATCTTAGTGTGAATAGATTGAGAGTTTTAGCTTGAAGTAAATTAACTACATTATGTATAATGACAAATTATGTAGATTTATACCAGATAATCGGTTGGTGTACTTGCCATTGGAGACAGCTGATGCCCAAATAGAGTATTTTGAACTAGAACAAATAAGTTCGCATTGTTCCCATTTGGCACATCAGCCTCTTACCACACTAACTTCTGTCTCTAAAATTACCCTTTCTTATTATGTTCTTATTTCAGCTTGTTCTTCTTGAAGTTTGATGGATCCATCCACCTCCACCCTTCTTCAACCCCATTACTTTGGACAGAAATATTAAAAAGGACACTTAAATGTGCTGCGGCAAGCAAAATACAGTGCAGAGAGCTTTGAAACCGTTCATGAGGGCTTGGGAGCAATTTCTTGGGCATTGCCACTTTGATAGACTAAGATGTTAATGGCAGAGGTTTTGGCAAGTATAAGGAAGAAGGAGAAACTAGAGAGTGATGACACTATGCCTGATGGGAAGGGTGTGGGGGAGGAAGGAAAGACAACCATGGGCCCAAGCAAAGGCTTTCCCAAAGAAAGAGCAATTGGGATTTTTATTCAGGCTGCTCTTGGAAAACTTCCCTTTCCTTCCAACATGACAAGGGGAACAGCAGCTCCCTACAGAATAATGCACAAATAAATTCAGTGGGAACAACTATAGTCTTGAAACTAACCCACTGGACTCATCTTGAAGTTTTGTGCTGTCACAGAGAAAGACCTACGTGAAGACAGGTAATTTTTAATACCTATGTCCCTCCTCTTTCCTCATTTCTTCTCTTTCTGCTCAGGCTGCAACCACCACAGGGATGTAGTGTTACTGTGTTTACACTATACATAGCACCGTGGATGTCTTAGTTTCCTTGGATCTTGGGATTAGCATAATCATGTTTCTAGTTGTACACACATGAATGCTCACCTAATTCACCAGGAACAGCAGAGCTAAATGGCAAGCATTAAACATTGCTGAATCCTCTGAAAGCTTGCACAGCACAGGTCTTCCCCAACAATTAGGTACAGAGAATGATTAAGCCCTTTGCAACACCCCACAGGGAGTAAAACTTGCAAACTTGCCAGAAATCTGGGCTTGACCTGGGTGATCCAAATCCCAGGTCATGCACCCAATTTAGAGAGAAACCCCTGCTCTGAAGAACCCAGAAAGAAATTACATGGAACCCAGGCTCATTCCCTGAGAAGAGGAAATTTAAAACCCTTCATAGAAGCAAGCCCTTGACACTCTTGTCCTTAATCCCAAAAGAGGCAGCTCAGAAGAAGCATCCAAGCTGGAGGCCCAAAGGCAGTCCTACCATCTGAGCTCTGAGGAGAAATGAGTGTGGAAACAGCAGATGACCTAAGATCCAGAGACATCTGTCTCTGTGGATGCCCTAAGTTATCAGACATAGCTGAGCAGCAAACATGGCACAGACTGAACTGTGCAGCCTTGCTGCTTGCAGAGGCACTTCCCTGATTAAGAGCTCTATTGAGTAATTGCAACATCTAAGAAATTTGGGGTTCTCTTTCCTCCTTCTTTTAATAGCACTATTAGGCTTGTGCCTGTTTGATATGCATATTGATTTTTGTTTCATACAGGGATACTGCAGCTGTTAGGAATAGTCTAGTGGAAGAGTAGACTTAGGCACAATTTCTGTTGCATAGAAAACACGCTGTGAATCAGCCAGTTTTGCCCTGCCAACTCAGTTTCTATATTATTCTAGAAGCAGATGCATAGTCTGGCCATGTTTATGCGCAGTAAATAAACATTACATCAGCCCAATAATTCTTATCAAACCTTCTTTCACACAGGCCCAAATTGCTTGCCTGCCCCTGCCTCAGGAGACACACTTTTGTTCAATCTTGCTATTTATAATAATGAGATATTGTGTTTATGAACAATAACCCAACTATTGTATTATTCATTAATTTGCTGCCCTAGGGTTTATATATGAACCTTGGTTACCACAGATAAACTGTGTAGCACTAACAGCGCTAATGCCCTCTGCTGCATATAGTTAACACTACATAGCAACTACAGCAAGGGTTCGCCTAGTCAAGTGCCAAACAGCTGCATTTTGGCCCACCACCTCAGTTAGTCACTCTTCTTGCCCTACCTCCATCACAGCGCAGCTGGGTGATCAGGGGGATACGAAAGATCCCCAGGCACTCATATAGGCAGCTGCTTCTGCAGACACATCTTTGGGAACTGGTGAATATGTGTTGCAAAACCAAGTATGCACATGTAGGTAGCAGTTGCAGGGGTTGTTATTTTACTTTGTGAAGATCTGGGAACAGGTTAATAGTTGCCAGTGAGATGTCAAGGGGACAGACTGGCCTTCCAGATAAGTGTCAGGAGTAGAGACAGGTATTGCTTCTCAGTGTTTCAACAGGGTTGTTTGATGATCATAAGTAATTCATACAAGCTCTTCAGACTTCTATTCCTTATCAGTAACAGAGGTAGCAATATCTATCTCTCAAGGCTCTCATGAAGTCAGATTCATTACTATGTGTTCAAGATACTCAGCAGTCAACAGTATTCATCCTAAGCACAAGAAAGGCAATAGAAATATCCCCACTAAGTTGAATGAGACTTACTGAGGAGCAATTCCGTGTTACAGTATGGCATAGCATGAATCCTATTAAGAACCTGAATACCTTTGACTGAAAAAGATTACAGGAGAAATCTCCACCTTTATTAATGGTGTATTTAAGTGAAGTACCTAAAGCGAAGAAAGCCATGGAAAAATCTCAGCAAGAAGGGAGATTGGGTGTAGCAGCCTTTCAAAGCCAGAGAAGACTGCAAAACTCAAAGATCAGAAAAGTTTGCTTAAAGCAGACACTTGTGATTATGGGGAAAGTAGACTCTGTTGGCCACATGCCTAATATGCTTAAGTTTAAAGTAAATGGAGGACTGCATTGCTTTACTGAGTGAGCCTGCTCTTAGCAATATTTTCTCTCTCGCATTTTGTATGAATTTAAACATCTTCTCACAATTATGCCTGCATGAAAAATTTTGCCTTAAGATAGATTTTAAAACCTTCAAATTCAAGTTCCAAAAAGCCTTTGCTCCACTAGCAGTGGAGAAGTCTGAATACCACCCTAAGTTTCCATTGCTTTGATAATATCAGTAAATGAAAAAGGCTAGGCAGCATTATCCAGATGTGAGGTTGTCCTGGGTTCAGCAGTAGCAGTCATTTTTTCTCCTTCTTGGTAGCTGGTGCAGTGCAGTGTTTTGACTTTCAGCTCGGGAACAGAGCTGATAACAAGGTTGTTTTGGTTTGGCCAAGGACTTTGTGAGCCTCATGCTCTGCCAGGGAGGAGGGGGAGCCAGGAGGAAGCAGAGACAGGACACCTGACCCAAACTGACCAAAGAGATATTCCATACCACAGCACGTCATGCCCAGGAGGTAACTGGGAGTTAGCCGGAAGGGCTGGGAGTCTGGAGGGTTGGAGGAGGTATCGGTCGGAGCTTGGTCGGGCTGGGGGGGGCGAGTTATCGGTCGGCTGGTGGTGAGATGATGTATTCTCTTCCCTTGTTATTTCCTTTATCATTATTATCATTGGTGGTAGCAGTAGTGATTTGTGTTATACCTTAGTTACTAAACGGTTCTTATCTCAACCCGTGGGAGTTGCATTCTTTTCGATTCTCCTCTCCGTCCCTCCGAGAGCAGGGGGAGGGCAAGAAAGGGGGGGGAAGTGAGCGAACGAATTACCTGACTGGGTTTAAACCACGACAGAGGTTTACTGGAACACCACAGCTTGCATCACACAGCAAAAGTTTTATCACAAGCTAAGAAGGACAACTGAGAAGCCTGTATTTCAATAAATGTCATACTTCTGTTTAGTTTACTATTTTCTGTCCCCCAGCTTAGATACAATTTAGGCAATTACATTTTTTACCTTAACATATTTAGAATGGCTTTTCAAATCTACTGGAGTTTGGCTAAATAAAAAATAACTCCAAAATATGTGACCAGAATATAGAACAAGGAATAAAAAGAGGAAAAGAAAACAAGGTCTTCCCTTCCCTTCCCCCCCCCCCCAGTTTCCTGTGTTTATTTCTGAAATTGAATGTTATAATAATACTGGGGCAATTTTAAGAATACAGTTCTTGTAAAACTTCAAGTCAAAAGTGAGCATTTTTGACCTATTCTGTGTTATTTTCCAAAATTATATCTGTTGTGTGTTCTTGTGTTCTCAATGTCAATAGCACCAAAAGAAAAGCAAATGCATCACTCGGGGTTTTTTCCATGTGGTCCTTCATTCCCAAGAGATTTACTTTGCTATCTCATCTCACTTTTATAAGTTCAGTCAATACCTGTATTGGCATATATCAGGCACATACATTACCAGTTACTAGATCCTGGCTCAAGGCACTGGCTGCCCATGACTATGTGTCATCATTTAAAATTAATAATTGAGTGTTCTGTCAGATCCTAACAGTGTTGGCCTAAGCTTTGCCCCAGTGTATTTAATACCAGAGGGACGCTCTATGAGCTACATTATTTCACATGATTCAAATGTAAAGAGCTGTTCAATAGTGCAGTAGCCTTTCTTTGCCTGAACAACAATGGCAGTACTGATTACCCTTAATAATGTTATGCTGTGTGCACAAATCAAGCGCAAAGAGCAATCGTGAAGAATAACATTGTTTTAAAACACTGATCGTTATTCTTGCTACATGCCTACTGGACCTTGAAAACCATAATAGGATGGTCTTTAGATTCTCACTGCTTTGATAAGAGATGAGAAGTGAAGTCAAATACACTACTTCTGGTTTGGCAGCTATAGTTTGAAGGCACTATTCAATGCCTAGGGGTTACTTAGAGTGGATGTTATGAAAGAGCTTGAACTGCCTCTTCAGCACACATCATGTACTCCTCTGATGACAATCCGAAATCTTTGCCCTCTGGCCAGTCCATGATGACTTCTAGAATTCCTGGACAACTGGGGTTTCCTGTTTGAGCTCATTGCGTAGTTAGTGCAGCCCACTTACTCCATGTAGCATCAGTTGCATGATGTGTAGAGGAGACCCTGCCTTTGAACATCCAGCCCAGCACAGGCAACCGGGGTGCCAGGAGGAGCTGTGCTTCAGTGCCAAGCACTTCTGAAGCAGCTCGAACCCCTTCATAGGCTGCCTGTATCTCTTTTTCAGTTGGAGTAGAGCTGGCCTCTTATCCTCTGTATCCCTGACTCCAAAAGCTGAGGGGTCAACCTCGAGTCTCCCCTGGAGCTTTCTGCCAGAGGCTCCAGGTAGGACCGTTCTCCCCAGCTCCTGTGTAAAGTACGTTTTTTTACATCTGGCACAGTCTGGACAAGTCCAAGGGCTACTGCATGAACTGTTTTGTGTTTAATTTGCTCAAAGGCTTGTTGTTGCTTAGGACCCCATATGAAATCATTCTTCTTCTGGGTCACATGATAGAGAGGGCTTACAATCAAACTGTAATTTGGGATGTGCATTCTCCAGAACCCCACAGCACCCAAGAAAGCTTGTGTTTCTTCCTTATTAGTTGGTGGAGATCTTGTTGATCTGTTGATCTGCTGTTATCTTGTTGATCACATCTGTGGGGATCTGGCAATGTCCATCTTGCCATTTTATTCCCAAAAATTGAATCTCCTGTGCAGGTCCCTTGACCTTACTCCGTTTTATGGCAAAACCAGCTTTCAGCAGGATTTGGATTC